ATCTTGGTAGAAAATAGTCATAACTCACATATAACTGGTTCACGTCTTGAGCACGTCCGTGATTACCTGCCGTCAGTGTGCAGTGAAAGAACTAAATGAAAGGGTTTAAAGGAACATAAAGTTCGGTTTCAATAGCTTTTATTACTGTCTTCCATGTCCAAGACACGTATATATATATATATATATATATATATATATATATATATATATATATATATATATATATATATATATATATATATATATAGTGTGTGTGTGTGTGTGTGTGTGTGTGTGTGTGTGTGTGTGGTGTGTGTGTGTGTGTGTGTGTGCGTGTGTGTGTTTTGTGTGTGTGTGTGTGTGTGTGTGTGTGCGTGTGTGTGTTTTGTGTGTGTTTTATGTGTGCGTGTGTGTGTTTTTATGTGTGTGTGTGTGCGTGTGTGTGCGTGCGTGTGTGTGGTGTGCGTGTGTGTGTGTGTATGTGTGTGTGTGTGTGTGATGTGTGGTGTGTGTGTGTGTGTGTGTGCATATGTGTGTGTGTGTGTGTGCACCGATATGCATATATATATCTATAAAGGTATATTAATTTGTATGTGCATACATCTGTATCTATTTATCTATCTGTATATATATAAATATATTTGCATCATCTATCTCAGAAGTGCGTCGTAACGCGTGCATGATATTTGTACCTCGTCTGCTTTAGGACATCAGTCGAAGGTAAATGGCTCTGTCGCGATGTCAACCCATATTGCAATGATTATTTAATATTTCTCAATTGAATAACCACTTCTGCCTCAGAGAAAGAGCAAAGGCGAAAATGAAGACAAATAAGAGAGGATAATAATGATAGTAAAACGAAGAACACGGGGAAACTGTAGAATCTCAACACATTCTAATGATGGTATTCAAGATCACCCACAGTTCTGTATCAGAGGAACTCTATTTTACCAAGAAAACGGAGTAATAAGGCAAATAAAGTGGAGAGGGAAAAATAATAAAAAAGACGAAGAAGAACGGGATAGGAAAAGTAGGAGAAGACGAAGACTAAGACTAAGAGGATGGACTCTCGAGTGTGAAAGTTGGCCAGCAGGTGTTAAGGCCTGGAACTCGAACCAAGCGAAGCGCCTCGTGCCAGCGGCCATTGGCGTCAGCTGTTGGCTCCTTTGTATTCAAGGATATTTGTCATAATTGTGCGGTGTTTATTATGAATATCATTTAAGGGGAAAGACCCATTAGCAGTTTTTTTTCGACCATTGATAAAAATAGTAGTGGGGAAAATGTGTATGTATATAGATGGATATCTAGAACTTTCGCGTGTTGTCTGAACGGTTAGAAGCAAGACGAACGGCATCTCTGCATTGCCACGAGAACGGCCGGCGGTATGTCACTAGTGAAAGCACATAGGGTGACTTGCCGTTGTGATTTCAGTGCTAGTTTACCATACGAGACGCCTGTGCCGCCTCCTTCAGACGTATCGAAAACATGTCACAGAGATGGAGCGAGTGATATCCGAGAAGTACTGCGCAACAGAGAAAATTATCTATCCGTATGTGGAGAAAAGAAAGTTTGAAATTTTGCTGTGTTGGCGTCATAATATAACGTTATGATGACGCCGACAAACGAGAACAATATAATGATAATGCTGATAATATTAATGATGATAAAAAAGACGTCATTCTTCTGCCCCATCCATATTTACTAATCTTATAGGCCTACATGCAGACAGAAGCTCTCGTACCTGGAGCAAAATATTGATCAAATTAAAGTTACCTGTCTAAAAAGTTACAAATAGCCTTTAGCAACACCATTTTCATGAGAATTCATATCTGCCTCTGTTGCTACAATTGATATGCCTTAACGGACGTGTTTCGATTAACTCTCGGGCGCCCAACGCCTTAATGTCCGGCAGTATAGTATTCATTGCCAGTATCCAGAGATCATCTTTTAGTGTAAAGAAATGAAGTCATGCGGTCATCGTAGAACTTTGTGAATATTTGTTTATTAATCGATAATGTTTAAGTGCGGTTACGTTGTAATTTGTCAGATCATCTTTCTATTTCTCTGCTGATTTTAGTTCGCATCTTGAACTGGACATAATTTGATTCTAATGGCTGAATGTAAAATCAGTGTTTCAGTGCAAGAGTATAAGGCAGTGGAATAGAACGTAAAAAATATGTAAACAGTTCAATATACTTTTCAATTCCTTTTCCTGTTTATATGGGAGTGTGAATAAAAATACAAGGCTTTAAACTTTCATAGGTAAACGAATGGCATAGTTATGTATGCAATATATGCAATGAGTAGCTGAATAGAAAAGTTCAACATAGTTCTGTGGAAAAAGTAGAATAGAAGCCTAAGATTGAGTTGTATTGGCATTGTCAGGTGGTGCGCATAAAACACCAGGTGGCGGTACTTTAATGATCTTATGGAATGTGTCGAAATAGGCCTAATGTTAATAATGGCGCCAATAAAGCCATATAGACATAGATATATATTATAAAAAGTATCATCCTTTCAGGCATGTCGCGCCAGGCGGTGGTCCTGGCCGCGGCGGCGCTGCTGCTCGCCGCGCCGCCCGCCGCTGCCTCGTGGCGCTGGGAAGACCAGGCGACGCAGCCCCCCGCGTCGGCCTCCTCCGTCGTCACGTCCAGCTCAACCATCACTACCTCTTCCTCAACTTCGACTTCTGTTTCCACGCCTGTGAGTACATGGTATAATGTTTTGTTGGAGTTAGTATGGTGGCGAGTGTGGGAAAAGTATTGCAAGTAAATGGCCCGCCACGGAACACATTTAATTCGGGAGGAGTGAAAACGCAATAATTCGTAAGGAACAGTCCTGTACAAAAGATATAAACATGATACAATAGATTACATTCACCTCTTAAAATCATATGAGCATGAAAAATCCCACAGGAGAAATTAGCAGCTGTCCGAAAGCGGAAACAGGAAATAAGACATATTTGTACTTAAAAAAATAAAAAAGGAAAAGATTTAAACTAACATATCCCACGCGAAAAAATAAACTAGCATGAAAAAATAATGCCAATGCCCTACAGAAAAAAAAAACTTGTCACTGCCCCACAGGATGAAGTCCAGACGGCAGCCGAGGCGAAGTCCATCCCGCAGCTCGCCGTGAACGAAACTGAACCGCGATTCATTGGAAGTCTCAAGAAGAAACTGTGCAGTGTCGGCCTCGGGTTGAACGTAAGTCTTTCTCAACTTTCTTTTGCCATTTTGTCGTTGGAATTAAGAGGCTAAGCGGGATAGAATCGAGATGAGTTGAAGGCCGTAGTAAAGGGAATTGGTTCATATTGTAAATACGTTTTACTAATTTATGACTCTGTTGTATTTGTCGTAAAGATGCCCCTGATTAAGAGTTTAGTTGAGTTAGGCAAAGATATAGAGGAATATTACGTTCAATATTTACTTAGTTAATTAGCTTGGACATAGAATCTAAAAAGGAAGAAAATAGTGATAATGAAATAAAATCTAGGCCTATCCACCAGAGAAAGCTCTCTGGTTTAACTCGAGGAGAAAAAGAAAAACATGTAGGATACACTGTAGGCCTATTTGAGAGCCTGAAAGAGGGTGAAAGGTAATTGTAGTAGCCTTTGGAATGGTTAAGTGAATGGATCTATGGTGTAAAGTAGTGTATTTTTTAAGAGCTATATTTATAATAATGTGTGATAAATCCAGAACTAAAACTAGGACTAAAAATGGAGCATCGTCTTGTACTTATATTTATTGTATTTGTAATTATTATTATTGTTATCTAGAAATCTCGTACAAATCACCAAATGTAGCTGGTAATGGATGATTTCAGGCCATAGCTATTGAAAAAAATATATCAAACAGATATTTAGGAAACGCCTCTTTAGTGAGCTGTCTAAGTACTGCAATTACTAACCCCAACATAACAAATATCGTACCAGTGTGATAAGGATTACAAACCAGCCTCGCATCACTACGGGAAACCAGCTGATATCCACGAAGTACAGTACGTCCAACCTGTGGAAATCCGCCCCGTTGGGAAGCCCATCCCTGCTCTGCCTGCTTATCACGGAGGCGGTGGAGGAGGAGGCCATGGCGGGGGAGGTGGCGGCTACGGTGGAGGCCACGGAGGAGGAGGCCATGGTGGCGGTCATGGAGGAGGCCATGGTGGCGGTCATGGAGGAGGCCATGGTGGCGGTCATGGAGGAGGCCATGGTGGCGGTCATGGAGGAGGCCATGGTGGATGGTGTCATGGTGGAATGGTGGCCCATGGATGGTGGATATGCCTCAGCTTCTACTTCACACTATGGCAGTTCCTCCGGGTATCCAGCGGCAAAAGCTCCTTCCCACTATGGTGCTCCTAAGCCCCCCTCGACTTCATATGGTGCCCCTCCCGCACCATCGACTTCATATGGAGCACCTAAAGCTCCGTCAATCTCATACGGAGCACCTAAGGCCCCTTCAACGTCCTATGGTGCCCCCCAGGCTCCTGTTGCATCATATGGTGCTCCTCCGGCCCCTTCGACATCGTACGGCGCTCCCCCAGCCCCTTCGACGTCCTACGGAGCCCCTCCAGCCCCAGCGACATCCTATGTAGCTCCCAAGGCCCCCTCTCCATCATACAGCGCCCCCCCTGCTCCATCGTACTCAGCTCCGTCGGCCGTCGGTGGAAGTCTGGATTCAGGAAATGCCGGGCAGACCATCAAACACGTCCACATCCATCAACATGTATACAAGCTAGATGGAGGTAATGGAGGCGGTTTGGGTGGCTTTGTAGGAGCTAGTGGAGGGGGAGGAGGAGGAGGAGGATATGGAAACAACCTCATACCTGGATCAGGCGCCGGGGGAGGAATAGGAGGAGGATATGGAAACAATCCCATACCTGGATCAGGTGTCGGCGGAGGAATAGGAGGAGGATATGGCAACAACCCTGTATTTGGATCAGGCGCCGGGGGAGGAATAGGAGGAGAATATGATAGCAATGTCCTGTCTGGATCAGATAACTCCTTCTCGTCTACGCCTTTTAGAAGAGACACTGTAAATAACATCCTTGTTGATCAAAAGGAAATTAATAAGAACGGCGGGTTTACACCTAGCTCACTTCCTACGGCACTAGGCAGTGTAGCTGGAGCTCCAGCCGTGGAATACAACGTCGGAGCGGACGGCGTTGTCGAGCAGTTTAGCCTGGCTGAGTCTGTCCGGGATGTGAGGCCGCGGGATCTCGGCTGCACCTGCGTTCCCAGAGAGCAGTGTCCTGTGGATCAGGTAATTTCTTCGCCTTTTGCCCGGGAGGATCTCACTAACATTCAGGATCCCAGGAACTCCCCATCCGCAGGCAGGGTTTACTCCAATGCGTCTAATGTCGCTCGACACAAGAGAGACGTCCCGAATATTGAAGATCAGCTTGCCGTGGCAACGCAGGAACAGGCGACACAAGAGACTAGAGAATTATTCCCAGACGAGATCATCGCCCTTCCTGACAACTCCCAACTCAACCCTCTCAACATCGACCTCTCCCAACTCCGTCTCCCTCCCAACTCTGCCTTCGAAACCCTGGCCGCCGATTTGGCCGTCCAGCAGCAAGGTGCTGCCCCCTTCATCTCATTTACGTCTGCTTCGGCTGTGCGTGCCCCCACGCCCGTCCCGATCGACGTCTCTCCCGATCGGGCGAGTAGCACCTTCGTCGGCAGCCAGAGTGCAGGGGTCATACAGGACGTCACCAGTCAGTACCGCCAGGAGTTAATCTCAAACGTAAGATAAAGTTAATCCTAAACTCATTTGGTGAAGGGTTATTTTTACTTCTTTCCATTAAGTATACTGATGAGTTCTTCCCTCATGTTGCATCTTTCAGAAAGAGCTTGTTTTTAAGGGTTGCAAAGACACGGGTGTCGCCAAGATAAGAGTCACTCGAGAAACCACGGAGAATTCAAATGATCCTGCGACAGTAAGTTTTCCAGCAGTTGGCAGCCTTGTTCACACCTGTACTTATTCATCACTGCAGATTTTGGTATAATGTACTTGTGAAGCTTTTGTTTTCCGTTGCTGTTACAGTAGTGTTTGTATGATTATATCTGTAGAATCCAGTATTTGTTAACATTCTACTTTTATTGGTTCCAATTTAGATGCAATGTATATATGTAGAATTCACTGTTTGTAGCCTCAAACACCAAAAAGTACTACTGTAGATATGATTTGACATCGTCTATAACAGTCAGCTGGCAAACGCAAGATCACAAGTAGTAAAAGAAGTTCTCTCACTGGCACTTTTGGTATATCCTGTTTGTATCATTTTCGTGGCATATCTTCCTATTGTTAATTTATCCCCTTGGTATGGTGTATATACTTTATTTTCCTCTTTATCATTGTCATTTTTTCATTAAGTATCACTCTCCCTTACAGCGGTTAATTGGACTGTTAGGTGGTCTAGGTAGTGGGAGTGGTTTAGATGGTCTCAGAGGCCCAGCTTTTGTGCCATCTTTTGGGGTTAATTTTGGGAGTTTGCCGACAGGTGGTGGTTATGGTCCTTATGGTAGCCCTCATGGTGGCAATCCCTTGGGACTCGATCTCGGGCCCGTGTCCGTAAACCCGTTCGTCGGATTCAAAGTGGCAAAGCTTGATGGGAGGCCGATCCTCAACCCAACGTTTGACCTCCTTGTGACTCCCAATGCCAAGGGTGTTCATGCACTGAATGGTCTGAAAGAAGGGATAAAACATCAGTTTGGAGGTGGATATCCTGGTCCCTATCCAGGCCCTATCCCTGGACCCTATCCAGGCCCTGTTCCTGGCCCCTATCCAGCTCCCATCCCAGGACCCCTCCCAGGTCCCTATCCAGCTCCTGCACCCTATCCAGCCCCTGTACCCTATCCAAGTCCTTCATATAATCCCTACCCACATCAACCCATTCCTCCAAAGGTTCCCTACGTCCCTCCAACGAACACATACACTCCTCCTGTATATACACCCCCCAAGCCTGTGTATACACCCCCTAAACCCGTGTACACCCCTCCCGAGCCAATATACACCCCGCCCATTAAGCCCATCGCTGACTATAGTAACCAACACTACAAGCCTCCGGGTTTCGTCGCCCCTGTGCCTGTCCACTCGCCCTCGCACCTTCCGCCCATCTCGGGATTCCACGACGAGAAGCCGGTCCAGGTCCACCACCACGAGCACACCCACTACCACGACCATGACCACGACTACGACTCCTCTCGCCCATTCACCTCCGGGGGCTTTGTTCCTAGTTTATCTGGCTTCGGTCGTTCCGATCTCCCTCTGAGTGACGACGAGCCACTTCCTCTCGCTTCCTCGTCCTCGTCCTCGTCACCGAGCTCCTCTTTCCTTCCCTCGTCGTCGAGTAAGTTTGTCCGTTCGGACTCCTCCAAGGTGACTTTCTCGACGCGCGCGTCCGATTCGCCCAAGTCGTCGTCGGGTTCATCATCATTTAAGTTCCCGGATTCATAATTCTCAGTTAAATTATATATCTCGTACTGATAAGGCTCTCTCTTAACACGGTTAGGTAGGTTTTGTACACTTATGTATATATATTTCTCATTTACAAATTCCGAACTTGATTCTGCTTTAAAAAATCAGAATTAATGGACTATAAACACTATACAGAACACTTATACTTTATACCACAAAAATTAATTTCGTAAACACCCCATAAACATACCTTTCATAGTGCCATAGTCACAGTAGACACAGATCTGTTTGTAAATTAGTCCTCGAAGTTATCTGTTACTAAACACATCTATGTAAAAGCAATTTAGACGTTTTCTATACTGTATTATACACAAATAGCGTAGCAGTAATGTTGCACTCGCACCGGTAAAGCTTTAATATATTTACGCCAGCTGGCCAGTCCATGCACAAGCAGATTTTTTTAAATACATATTTTGTTCATTAGCGTAGTAGTGCTACATTGAAATATTTGTTTCTCGTGATTATACTGATGTTTGACAGTCTCTAGTAAAATAAGAATTAAGAAAAAAATCGAAGGCGGAAGTGGAAGATCTCGTGCCGCTGTAACCGCCCGCTGCATTGTTCCCCAAGGTGCCAGGGGACCCAGACAGCAACCCACCCTCGCCGCGTCTCATGGCCGAGGTGGGCGACTTCCTGAGTAGCCTCCCCATCGATGTAACCCTGAGACTCTCTAACCATCCTCATCCTCACCTCATCCCTCATCCTCCGCCCTCACCCCACACCACCACCGTGCCCCACCCACATTCCGAACCGTCGCCCGCACGCCTAGGATCCTTGCCGGATTCTCCTCCTTCTTCCTCTCCTTCGAGCTTGCAAAGACTGAATCCTCAACAGCCTTTCCCTCCTCCTTACTCACCTCTCGGCTTGGGGCGTCCTGTCTCTCCCCTGCGATACCCTCTCTCCCCCTTGGGCGCTCCCCCTCCCTCCCTGCGACCCCCCCGACATGGGACCTTACTGGACAGAAGGTTAGGCGTGCCCGTGCTGCATGACCCCCTGCGGTTGAGGCCTCCGTTCGTGCATGGACTTCCTCCTCCTCCTCCTCCTCACCCTCCTCACGGCATGCATCGGCCGCTCCGACCCCTCGGGCCCTTCGGCGAGGACAGGCTCTGCCGCCACGCCAACTGCAGGGGCCTCGCCTACTACTGCCAGGTATAGTCTCCGACGGCGACGCTCTGGAGCCAGGCAGAGCTCACCCGTCTTTTGTGGTCCTTAAAAAGAAGATATTCTGATTCTGAAACACACACACACACACACACACACACACACACACACACACACACACACACACACACACACACACACACACACACACACACACACACACACACACACACACACACACACACACACACACACACACACATACATATATATATATTGTTACATCACAACACATGATGCTAATGATAATGATAATATCGTGATAATGTATCGTTATTACCTTGATGTTTATGCTATTGATCAAAGCAAGATATTTTTTCGATATCACAGACATTTCTCTAATTACAACATTCTCGTTTTTCCTAAAATTATATTATCATTATCACTGACGGCTTTAGTGTAATAAGTACAATTTGTGCTATTTCAACGGCTCTATTCTATTTTTTTTATTTACAACTAATTACGGATGAATGAAAACCACATATTCATACTGTAAGATGTATGCTATATTAATCAGCAATTACTTTACAGGTAATCGCAGATACGGATAAAAAGCTTTTTTTTGCCCCTTTTTCTATCATCATGTTTTCATCAGCAAGTGTTCGTCTGCGATCAATGGGACTGGGTCATTTCTACGGCGTTTTTGTAAAAGGGTTGAAGGCTTTGTTATGGTGGCGCTTATTCGATCTTTTCTTTCTTTCTTTCTTCTCTCTCTCTCTTTCTTCTTTCTTTGTCTCTCTCTCTCTCTCTCTCTCTCTCTCTCTCTCTCTCTCTCTCTCTCTCTCTCTCTCTCTCTCTCTCTCTCTCTCTCTCTCTCTCTCTCTCTCTCTATCTATCTATCTGTTCATCTATCTATTATTTTATCTATCTATCAGATTTGTTATTTGTTTCGATTTTGTCATTGTGTTTCAATTACAGTTAAAATGTGAGTTTGAGGCCCAGTTCCACGTACGCCATACACACGATGATAGCCAGCAGTTCACAACATAATCGTAAAGCAGTCGAATTCATTAATTTTACGATGACTTCTTTTGCTTGAAATTCTGTCACATATGAGTTTACATTCAAGCTTACCTGCTTGTAAAAGTTTTTTTTTTATTGAAATAGTACTCTTGAAAATTATTCTGACCTTTGATTGTTGAAATATTACTCTTGAAAAAATATTCTAGCCTTTGTCTAATCTTAAAAGACAATTTCAAAGAAATTATCCCTTTTGGAAAACTACTTCGAACCCGATGCTTCTCGCATGTCACCTGACCAAAGGCCAGTCGGGCAGCGTCATTTCCTACGCAAAAAATGGCACTGAACCCCATGCTTTGCAGCGGGATTTCGCCTCACCCGAGTGCGGTCTGTTCGAGGTGTGCTGCAACCCCGAGGTATTCCAGGGGGCCTTCTCCTCCACCTTCAACTCCTTCGCCAACCCGGGGACCTGCGGCTTCAGGCTCACGGATGGCATCAACGGCCGGATTCGGCAGCCGCTGCAGAAGGAGGGAGACGCCGAGTTCGGTACGTTTTTTTTTAATTAATTAATATATATATATATATATATATATATATATATATATATATATATATATATATATATATGTATATGTATATATATATATATTGTGTGTGTGTGTGTGTGTATGTATGTATGTATATATATATATATTATATATATATATATATATATATATATATTATATATATATATATATATATAGGGGGGGGGAGTTGTCTGGCCATTGTGTGTAGGACTAATATCGGTTTGGATGCTTCACTTTTTTTATAGAGCTTTTAGTGAAAAGCTTTTTGGTTAGGTTATCATCATCACCATCATCATTATTATTATCATCACCATCACACTACGATTAATATCATAATGGTCGCTATATTACTTTGTCTATATTTACGTTCTAAAAATCTCCCGTCTCTTTCCCCAGGCGAGTACCCCTGGCAAGCCGCAATTCTGAAGAAGGAAGGGATTGACAACGTGTATGTGTGTGGAGGGACTCTTATAGACGACCGACACGTGCTAACAGCTGCTCACTGTGTTAAAGGGTAGGTTTTTCTTCCAATGACTTGCCCTGCCATGGCATGCAAATTGAGTATTGGTAACAGTATATGTCAAAGTATAAACGCTTGGGCAAACTGGTGTATTAGTCGGTGTTCCTGAGAATCTTTTAAGATATAAACGTTTTACTCTAGCAAAAAGGAAAGAAAGATATGTCATTCACAAGTTACTACAATGAGATTGGAAGTCGTGGTTAAAAGTTGCTCTTCGGTCAGGTATATTCAGTATGACTCTTAAACAAAAGACACCACGTCATCCACATGGCATCACAAAATGAAGTTCATGGTGCTGCATGTTTGTTCTGCGGTATCTGTATGAATGAACTAAGGAACTATGTTTGTCCACTTTCCAGATACGATGCCATTGAACTCAGGGTGAGAGTCGGCGAGTGGGACGTGAACAGCGACACCGAATTCTACACCCACGTCGAGAGTGACGTCAACGGTGTGTTTGTCAATCCTGACTTCTATTCGGGGAACCTCATCAATGACATCGCCGTCGTCAGGATGACCGTCCCTGTTGACTTCGTTAAGAAGTGAGTATGTCTTGCGGGTGCAGAATTATTATAAGGTAGGTGGACGTATCAAATATATGTTATTATTTGCTGTATCAGATAGTTTACAAGTCCTCGCTCGTTGGCAGCCCCCACGTCTCGCCGGTGTGCCTCCCCGCCCGGAGCCAAGACTTCACAGGGCGCCGTTGCTGGATCACAGGCTGGGGCAAGGACGGCTTCGGCGAGGAGGGGCAGTATCAGAGTATCCTCAAGGTGAGAGGGGCTAAGATTTTTTTCTTCGGAATTTATGTAATTTTGAAATCAGATAATATAGACATTATATATATTTCTGTATTTTTTATACACGAACTAGATATAACAGAGACTAAATACTAATCTCTGTCTCAGGAAACGGACCTGCTGGTGATACCGCCTGGAGAGTGCCAAGCGAGGCTGCGTCAGACGAGGCTCGGGCCGTCGTACAGACTCCACCCCGGCATGCTGTGCGCTGGAGGCGAGCTGGGCAAAGACGCGTGCAAGGTGGGAGGTTGCAGAGCATTGCAAGTCTTGGGGCTACTATGTTGTGCTTCTTATTGTATTTTAGGATCTATTTTCTTTTAATTGATTCAGCTATGCATATAGGGTAAATTTTTTTCGGTTAGAAAGGCATCTTGTACTTTATGATACTGGAGTTAATTTTTCAGCGATTATCCATAATTACTAATCTCAACAATAAAGTTTTCTCTATCCTAATTATTACTATTTTTTAAAATGTTCTTTTGGCACCAACTCACACTCTGAACGAGAGTATTTCCTCCCCAACCACTCCCTTTCCCTCCCCCCAGGGTGACGGCGGAGGCCCCCTGGCGTGCGAAGACGCGTCAGGCAGGTTCCAGTTAGCCGGCATCGTCTCCTGGGGAATCGGGTGCGGCCAAGCGGGGATCCCTGGCGTCTACGTCAACGTGGCTTACTACATAGACTGGATAGCACAGATTACGCGGTTCTAAGTGGAAATCGGCTGTTGGTTTCCTTCGTGGGGCGTCGAAGGGGAGACGAAAGAAGATGGGAGAGAAAGGGGTGAAGAACAAGGAGGAGAAGGATGCGAGAGAGAAATGCAAAATGTATTGTTTTGTGGAGTTTCCTGTAGAATGTGGAAGACGAAGGTGATTTGGCAAGTGGAAGAAGAAGGGAGAAGATAAAAAAAAAACTAGACAAAGAAGAAGAGATGGAGAGATAGAGAGAGAATAGAAATAAAGAACTATATGTTGGTAGTTGCGTCGTGGAGAATTGCGGTTCGTCTGCGCTGGAAGGGAATTGCACTGACATTTATTTAACGACATAAGTAGGTTGTCTTAATTAGATTTCATTTCAGGTTGTCATTTTCACTCTTTTTCTACACGTTACTGCATTCGTTTTGTTGTTAATAAAAGTAATGTTATTATTACATAATGATTAAAAATTAGTTTACGTGATTGTCATTCAGTATTAAAAAGGAATTTATTCATTATGAGAAACGATTGTTGCAATTATTTTCTTGATTAATTATTATTATTATTATTATTATTATTATTATTATTATTGTAGTTATTGTTATTGTCTTTACTATTATCATTATTATCATTAATAATAGTATTATATTGTTATTATTATCAATCTATCAATTTTATTACTATTATTCTATTATTATTATTATCGCTCTTTACCATTATTATTATTATTATTATTATTATTATTATTATTATTACTGCTACTACCACTATCACCGTTTTCATCATTGTGACAAGAACGTTCTGTCATCATTGTTACGTATTATCTTACCTGGTTTGTGAGTGTTGCTGCTGGCCAGCTGGATGGTGTAAATACATGTTAACTTGTTATTCAATTACTAAAAGAAATGAAGCTAGTCGGTTGTTTCGTTTGTTCCTTGATTCTAATAGATTAAATGTTTCCTACTATATAAACAAACCATTAATATCATTATATTCTTATGTATATATAAATATATATCATCTCTTCCATTCTACGCTATACATAAGAACGGCAATTGATATATACGAATATTAATGTTCTAGACTTTTCCATTCTACGCTATACATAAGAACGGCAATTGTAAAACTGTAAAATGCATTTCATAGTTGTCCATTGTAAAAAAAAATCACCTACCTCTTATGTGGTTTCTCGGCTTTTTCCCTGTTTGCTTAGACGACAAAACATAATTGACAGGGTGTTTGAGAGAAAAGGGTTGTATCATAGAATCAGCACGTTCAGTAAGTCCAATATTTATTCAGGTATTCTAGAACATGTAGCTTTAGCTTGGTTGTAAAATCCCTGCGTTTTATATATACACGAAGATAAAAGAATGAGGAATAATTACAATGAATTATTTATGTGTTATAACTACTTCAAAAATGCACATTGCTATATCAAGTCTAATACTATATTAAAGGTAATTTAATACTATATTCAAGGTATATCACATCTAATACTATATTCAGGTATTCTTATCTCAGACATCCATAAACAATAATTCCTAGCAAAGAGTAAGACAAAGATGGTCATTCCCACGAACAATTTTAGCCATAGATAAACACTGAATCAAAATCAACCGATATAATCTATCGACACAACACCTCTAAATCTTCAACGACGAAGAAGTCGCTACCTTCAGCAAGCCCTACATCATTTCTGAATGAGGACCACGCTGCTGCCGACGTCCCTTTACTCGTCCCATTGGAAGGTCATCGGCAGAGAAAAGAGAGGCGCAGCGGTCTTCGGATTCTGCATCCAGAAGGTCCACTCCCGCTTCACTACGTCGAACAGGCCTTTGCGAAGAAGAGAAAAAAAAAGATTAATTGACTTAGAGGAGGGAGGGGAAGGGAGGGTGAAGGGGAAAAAGTGTGAGAGGGTGAGATGAAGAAAGGGAGAGAGAGGAGGGAGGGAGGGAGGAGAGGGGAGAGGAGGGAGGGAGGAGAGGAGGAGAGGAGGAGAGGAGGAGGAGGAGAGAGAGAGAGAGAGAGAGAGAGAGAGAGAGAGAGAGAGAGAGAGAGAGAGAGAGAGAGAGAGAGAGAGAGAGAGAGAGAGAGAGAGAGAGAGAGAGAGAGAGAGAGATATATATATATATATATATATATATATATATACATATATATAGTCTACATAAATAAGTATGTATGTATCACATTCTTAAACTATAAAGACACCATAACGTTCATGGAAATCTTGAAACTAAAACCCTGGAACAGACACGTAAAACACGATCATTCTTTCTCTCCTTCATTTCCATCAATTCTTTCTTCCTCTTCCCTATGCTCTTCCCCAACTGAGCTCTCTCTATCCCCTCCTTTCCTCCTATTCCCTCCCTCCCTCCAGCACACGCAGACGCAACAGCCGAACCCACCGAGCGCCGTCGTGATGAAGTCCGGGTCTTGGGTCCTGAAGATGGGATGGACGGGGTCTTCGTCGTCGGATAACAGGGCGACGAGGAGTTCGCGGGACGTCGGCGGCGGGAGGACCTCGGCCCGGGCGCGGCGGCGGCGGCTGCTGGTTACCACAAGGGCCTCACAGTGTTCCTCGGTCTTGAGGTGTTGATAGCTGAAAGATGACGTATACAGTAGAGTATACTGGCCTGTATCGCGGTATCTGTATTTTTCTGAATTGGAAGTGAGTAACTTCCTATTCGTTCATAAAAAAAGTTTAGGCATAATTAGGCGGATCACAAGTTACCCTTACCATTACCCTCTAGTCCTTGGCTGTCACTATTGCGATTATTAGTAGTAATGATTGCAACAGTCTTTAGGAACACTTCTCTAGATCTAAGTGACAGTGACATCTTT